ATCAGATTTAACCGTAAATCGTAAATTTTTGTTACATCACTCAGCTTGCAATGGTTCTAAGAAGAATTTCGTATTTACAAGATTCATTTAATTAAATATTTAATATGTAAATCAAAAATAAAGAATTATATATCGAAATTAAAAGTTTTTAATTAATATTTTATCTTATAAAATCAAGAATTATTTCAAAGTTATTTTTTATAGCACAATTTTATTTTTGCCCTTTATAACACATAAATTAGGCCAAAAAAGACTTATTATATATTGATGATAAAAAAATTAATATTTTAGGTTTTATATCCCTTTTGTTATGCAGGTCTTTTAATAACTTTATCTCTCATCTGATTATTCTAAATGGATGATTTCATATATCTACAATATATGTGATATTTCTCCGTTTATTTTGACAATCACCACCCACTTTATTATCATTGTTTATTTTCTAACAATCTCGCAATACAACAATATTATTCATTCATTATTTCCATGTTTTTCATCACATCCATCCTTCATCTCTCTTATTTGTTACTTCTTATCCCCGTTCTCTATTAATCTTACTTTGTTGTTTGTCCTTCACCCGTTTTTATTTTTCTACACCCTCATGTTTTCTCTATCTCTTGTTACATATAATCCCTTTGATTATATACGCCCCTCCCTTTAATCTCTCCTGTACCTTAAATTCTAATGTTTTATATAACTTCTCCCCGTTATTTCTCTTTCTTCATTATCTTGTAACGAGTCCCTTTTCAACCTTATTCCTTCTATCTTTTTGCCTCTATCCTCTCTTGTTTCATTCCCAAATTCCTATCATTGGAATCCAATATTGTGTTAAACTCCTACCCACATCATAATAATTTTAATAGGTCTCTAAAATATCCTAATTTGCCATTTATTTTGTTTTGGTGCTCGTTACCGTTATTCACCCGTTATGTACCTCCTTGGTCCACCTTATACATGTATACCCTTGATCAATCCTCTTCTATCTCAATACCAAAATATTTAAATCATAAACGAGCGATTTTGAAAATTTTTTTTTGTATCATCTCTCAATAATTTATATTTTATCATATTTTCAATTGCACCTTGAAAAATGGGCTATTTTAACATTTAATATTGAAACGCTCAGTCGCTAATATGCTCTAGAAAGGGAACACCATTAAACTGAGGTCTAGTATACGATATATTTATTATTTAAAAAGAATTCTACTATTCTTATATAATTTTTGAAGCTGCCATTTCGTCCTGTCTAACAATATTCCCTTCTATTCTTGTTCATTTTTTTGTATTATTCACCAAATAAATATTCATAGTACGCTATATCTAGTATTTAAATAGGATTTTATATGGACCCTACTTTTTCGAAGCCTGCCAATTGGTCTCGCCAAACTATTCCATTAGTGCTTATTATTTTGTAAAACTCACTAAAAACGATATGTGGTATGCTATTTTTATTATTTAAATAGAATTATATATATCTATTCCATATAGACGATATATAGTATTATATTTTTAATACTTAAATTAGATTTTATATGTATTCTTATTATTGTACTTCTTTGAAGGTTGCGAATTGGTGTCCCCACATAATATTCAAATAATATTCTATATTTATTCTTAAAGCTCTTACCTTAAATAAATTTTTCCAAATAGGTTTTTCGAACAATATTCGTCTTTATTCGCAAATACTTATTATTTTGCATAAGTAAATATTTTTATGATTTATATTTCTCATTTTTCCTTCTTAATAAAATTAGCTACTAAAAATATACTCATTTAAATTATGGCAATACATAAATTAATAATATATTTTTTTAATATACCTCCTCAGCTCCATACCTATATTATATTTATGTATAGACTCTGAAATCTCATGATTCATCAATTGTCATTTGTAACTCACCTCTATTTGTGATTCATAGTCATTTTTAATTCGCTGCCGAAGGCCGAGCTAGGGCGTATCCCTAGATTTCAATTTGAATAATATCTTATAGCAAGTTTAAACAAACCATGTTTAGCTGGACCAAAAAATCAAATTTCACATAAACCTATCTAGTTCAAAAACTATCGTAGATACAGCTTTAATTAAAATTTTATTTTAAAGATTAAGGATTGGGCTACACATTCACATTTATATTAAATTTGTTTGATATATTACTTTTTTATGTTTTTTTTGTTTAAGCTACTATTCTTGTTTGATGATGAAAGCTTCCGCCACATCCTACAATAAAATCTATACCTTGAGTTATTTTTTCATCTAGATTAGAATATTTAGCAAATTCAGGAAGAGGAAATTCTATAATATCATTATTTTAGATTACTTTTCAATTTCAATCTCTATCGTAGACATTTTAAATTAATATGAAAACTAGATATATAATGCAGATTTTTAAATATAAATTTCAAATTTGATCAAAAGATTTAACTTTAGAATTAATTATTAATATATTTTAATAATTTTTGAATATTTATTGTATAAAATTGAAAGTTTCTTTGTAAATTATAACGAGCTACCACTATCGCTAGTTTTTTAAAAAGTAGCCTTTCTAAAGCTACCGCTATTGAAGAAAATAGCGCGCACTGTTATTTATTATACTCGCTAAATTAATATTTATCAAAATTGCACTTAACCCATTTGGGGGAGGCGTCTACGAAAAATATACAATATTTTTCAGAGATACAGCCTGTCAAATCAATAGGAATTTGTTTCCAAGGCCGAGTATTAATGTTTTAATTGTATAATAGCACTTAACTGGCTCCCGGTTTTCCTTCCTGACAATTCTTGCATCATCTAACAAAATGTTCAACACCATAATCAAGATTTGCCAAAAAACGTAATATCTGATTAATGATTTCATTCCTACTAAACCATAGTATTGTTAAATGGCGCGATTTGTGCCGATTTTTAAAAACGGCTAACTCAAGATTAGCCAGAAAAATATTGCCAAAGCCTTGAGATTTGGCTAATAGATGTCGAAACCTTTGTGCCATCTATAAGCAATGAATAAGATATTGAGTTAGCCGTTTATAAAAATCGGCTCAAATCGAGCCGTTTAACAATACTACTAAACCAAGCTGCGAGATAAATGACCGCCAAAACATTCTTCTTGGTGTTATCTAACTCAGGTAACCCTACCACAAAGATAAAAATATCTCTTAAATTGGTCAACTGATATTTTAAAATTACAGAGTGAAGTGAATAAATACATTTAAAATTAAATCGAAAGATTAATAATAGTTTTATTGGTTTTATTATAAAATTTATTCCATGCATAATAAATATTCTGAGTTTGGAACTAATCATTTACATATTTAATATATGTATATCACAATAGAATACATAATAGATATCTGCAAAAGTAGTCCCGGCTCATACCCGGCCCGATCCGAACGTTTTTTAAAAAAAAACTCGGGTTCGAATAATTTAAAAAAAAAATTGGGCCTGCTTGGGTCGGACCTTGGAAATTTTAAAATATATTTAAATTTCTCAATTTTATATTGAATTTTTTATGAAAAATAAAAATATTTTATTTTAAATTTAGAAATTAAACGCCATATGACATATATCTTTTATTAAGAGTAATTATAATATATTAAAGGAATATATTTCATATTTAAATAAATTCGAGCCGGCTAAGCTTTTTAAAAAAAATTATGGGTTCGGGCCTGGCCTGCAAAATCTTTTTAAAAAATTTTGGGCCGGGCTTAAAAAATTAGGCCCTATGCAGATCTCTAATTCATAATATGTAAAATACATAATAAACAGTCATATAAAAATTTTCTAATATAATATAATAAAATATTATATCATAAAATATTTAAAATGATCATGCCATCCTAATCGATTTTACTCCATCAAGTGTACGTTTTCCCCATACAAGCATTTATTAACTTTGTTAGCCTTCAGATATGGAATCAAATATCAGGGTGGTCACTAGCCTTTACAATCTCCACGTACTCAAAGAAAATTTTTAATATTACTTTTTTTTTAGTTAAAATTATCTTATTATATGTCATTGATTAAGTCAGACATTATCAATGTTAATGATAGATAGATGATCCCCTTTCAAAATCTATAGGCTAACTCACTACATTAAGTTTAATAAAACTTTTTTTTATCTTAATATAATTACATTTGCAACCTGTAAATTAGATTTGATTATTAACAAATTGAAAACATAAAAATAGAAAAGAAATAAAGGAATAATTAATAAATTATATAGGAAAATGGGCTTAATAGGCTTATTATTCTCGAGGGAAGACAGGAAGTATTTTATTTATTTTGATGAGGGAGGGGCACCCTAATCATGCTGCTATTGAATAAAAATTAACATCAAATAAAAGAACCATTTGGTAATAATACATTCAAGTTATTACGATCCCCCCCCCCCCCCCACCCCCCCCCCTACCCTACAACCTATGACGTTGACTCAACTGTTGACCTAAATATTAATGGATTCAATTTTACAAATAGTAGATACTGAATAATGACTATATATATTAATTTTAAAGACCATACTCCCAGAGATATCTACTATATTTTAATTACGCAAAGGTATCAAACACTCTCCTGTGCTAGGAAATATTTAGATTAGCTAATTTCCTTTTGTTCAAAATCGATGACAATTGGACTCAAATGATTAACACACATTTTAATTCAGAAGTTAGCGCTGCCTATTCTGCAGTGGTTGCTGCCTCAATATACAAAATAAAATTTATTTTATCTTAAATAAGAATAATGATGGATAAATTATTTATGCCCCCTTAAGATGGGTCATTTTCTTCAAACGTTAAATATTTTTATTTTTATTGTACATACTTGTGAATGATCCTTGACTTAAATATATTTTTTTACTGATTTCTTTCTTCAGTATAAATTATTTACTTATTGTAAATATAGCCCCATGTAAAAAAATCTTAACAATCAATGATAGTTAATAAAAATTCAAAAAGTTTGTCACCAATTACATTATTCCTCGAGCATATTGTCATTTACAAAATCACGAAACTGAATAGCAACTGTAATATTTGGAATCGAGGGATGAATTTACAAAAGAGTAATTATCTCATCATAGTTATTTCATATTTCATAAATATATATTTTTAGAAAGATTTTTATGATATGGCTCATAGAAACCCAATAGAAAATATGGGAATGGGAAATATTTCAAATCAGTAATTTAGTTTACAATTATCAAAGTTCTGAATTTTTAATAAATTTAGATTTTCTATGGCTTCCCGAAAAAATATTTTATCAGAAACTTTGAGAAAGGGACTTAATTATACAGGATCAGATACAGCATCAAGTTTTCCTAACAAGTCTAAAAAAGTAAATTAAGACTAGCTGCTTTAATTCAATTCACATATATAGGGAACAGGTTATGATGAGGAGTTAGAAGCAAATATGTATTTACAAAATCACCTTTATTTAAATCCATCAGAAAATGAGGTTTTATTTGTATTTTAATAATATTTAAATATATTTTTAAAGTTATTCTCTAATGCATCATCCTCATTTGGTTCCTATTCTTCTTACCAATCCCAAAAAAGTATTCATTGTTTTTATATTATTAAAAAATAAAAACATTTTCTCTTATAGTACTTTTTTAAAAATTAAAATTAAACCTTTAAAATATAATTATATATCATATATACTATTTTAAAATATTTAGACAAGATGAATAATTCTACAGGATATTTTAATCACTTTCGCAATAACTCTTCCCCTAATGCAGCCCTTTCTTCATATCATTCGAACTTCAACCCTTCAGCATTTTTTTCTCAAAACAAGTTAGTGTTAATATTATTAAATATTATAATTTTAAATAAACCTAAGACTATTTTAAAATAAATCTATGGCACCATTAAATTTTGTTTCTAGAAACAAATATTTATTTTTTATTATAAAACATTGGAATTTCTATTATGTTATTTGAGAATCAATATTCCTATTGCATATATTATTATATTCAAATTATATAATATTAAAATATTTGAAGCCAGATTATTATTTTTTTAATAATCATAATATCAATATCAAAACACTTTCAATATATATTTAACAAATTATTATAGATTATATTTTACAGTCTAGATTTATATTCTTCCCAATTCCCTAAAATTTGTAACTTATTTATTAAAAGAGATAAAATATTAAATACAGTCTTATAAATCAACATCATTGATAAGCTAAATGTTGGTGTAATTATGATAAATCAATTATCATGTGCTTTAAATTTTATTATAGTTTATATGAGAGAATAGTATATGTCATAATTTTAGAGGGCAGGGAATGTTAAAATTTTTATTCAATAACTTTCTTGAAGGCCCTCAACTAAAAACCTGATCAACTAAGTGGACCAATCTTTTTAATGGTTATTGATCTGAACTGGTTTTTTTTAAATATTTTAATTAAATTAAATGGCTGCATACTAGTCACAATAGTGTTTTATATACAAAATATGGAATTAATATTCTCACCACATTAAGCATCTAATTCAATTCCACACACCTCTCTGAATAGGGACTCAGCATTTTTTATTTAAAATAAATCATCATTAATAATTATTTTATCATGTTTAATATGATTATTTTAATATATAATAAAATTATAAGTCCAAGATAAATTTAGTTTAATAACCATAATTTTTAAAAAAAATATACAAAGAATATAATAAGATTAGTATTGGGGCAGTTTTTAATCCAAATCCTTGTTTTTAATGGTATTTGGTCAGGACCAGCCCTTAGTTTTGGGTTGGACCAAACTCTTTGTAATATTAATTTTAATAATGTATTAAGATGGATCCAATATTAATACATCTGGATCCTTCATTTTTGGATTGGATCTGGCCAATTATATAAAAATAACTGATTCTTGAGCAGAACCAGTTTTTATATATTAACATATATTTTTTGAAAATGGAGATTTATAATTTTTTTAACATTCTTTTGTTTAAAATATATGAAATTAAATAAATAAATTAGTAACAATACAAAAAAATTATCTCTTAGGTGAATAATGATTGAATAATGTCGATAAATTATATTTATTCCACATGAAGATATGCTATGCTAATAATGAATATATTTATATTTAGTTGAATTGACATTCTTATAGGATTAAAAAATATTTTTATTTTTAAATGATCTGTTATTGACTCAGTTAGATATTAATTTTTTTAAAAATCAGGTAAGATGAAAAAAAATTTGATCTGCTACATCTCTAGTTTAATAAAATAATTTCATAGTTTATTAAAAATGGGGTTTGATTAACCATCTAATATGCTTCTCTTTTTTATTTTAGCACACATACAATTTAATTAAACTTTCAGACCTCAAGTAGACCATAAAACTGTAATTTATAAAAAGTCCAGTTGGTAAAAAAAATCAAATTTGGATTAGATTGACCAGACTTAAACACACATTTTTAATAAAATTTATTCCTAGACAATTTAATAAAAAATAAATATAAATTATATCAATTAAATGACTGGAAAATTTGAATTCATTTAACATTAATTTACTGCTTATATTTTGAATATTTTTTAAATAAATATTTTGCAAAAAAGAGTCAAAATTATTTAAAATAACAAAGTTTTTAAATACAAGGCCAGGATGTAAATGATCATAATGGCTAAAGGTCTGCACTGGGCTGAGTTTTAATCCTTACACACATATTTTTATTCACCTACTTCCATGTTTATTTTAAAAGATTGGTTTATCCCATTCACTAGCCCATCTTTGAAAATTATTTGATTGTTTGGTTTGGGCCCTTTATTTATTTTGTTTAAATATATTTTTTTAACTAAACTTATAAACTCAAACCTGTCTTATTTGGACTCATGATAATTCAGGCAATTCCCTAATTTGATTTAAAATTTGAGTTCCAATTAAATTCCTATTAACAACCATTAAATGATGCCCTGATAAATTGGGTAACTGTCTTCTCTAAAAAACGGGCCAATTTTTAATTTTTTGTCCATTTGCATAAAACCTTAGAGTGGGTTGGCTATTTGTTTTTTTTATTGCTTTCATTAATTTTATATTATAAAATTATATCATCTTTTTTAAAAAAAATTAAGAAAACAATTATAACGAGTTGTCATTAATTAAAAAATTTATTATTGAATTTCTAAATCATCTTACTCAAAGAGAATATGCTAAAAGAAAATATGCTAAAAGAGAATATGCTAAAAGATTTAATATTTCTAAAGGAACTATTCACAATGTTCATAAATCTAAAGACGACATTATCTCTGAAACGTCATTTAAATAAAACAGATTGTTAACAAATAAATAAACAGAGATAACATCGGATTTTATTTCATAAATTAATTATATGTAATTTTCTTCCTTTTTTTTTGTATACAACCATTTAATTTTATGATAATAACTCAACTCAAGGAATGTCAACTGAAGGCAATTTTCTAATTGGTCGAGATATATTTAAAATTGCACAAGTATCTGAAGTAAGTAAATAAAATCGTTATAAATAAAATTTAATCAGTTTTATTAATAACCTTTCAAATCTAACAGGTCATGTGATTTTAAATAGAAGATTAGAAATTATAAATCAGTTATTGTAATGCCAACTTCCTTGAGTTGGGCCATAATCATCTTATATTTATTTGAAAATGCTTGAGGATCTCACTTTTTGCTAAACTAAGAAAAAATATGTATTTTAAAAAAAAAATAAAAATCGTGATAAATAATGCAACTGTCTAAGTTGTTCAAAAATCTTGGTCCTAACTGCCTAAGTTAGGTTTGACATTAATGTTTAAAAATTTTATTTCATTTTGGACATCTAATTTGGGCCAGGTTTAACATTTAAAAACCTAGGTTGGAATTTGATGAAGCTAGGTTTGGAATGCTAAAATTTTTAACCTCTACAATTAAATTAATTCTAATTATCAAAATTACTATTTCTGAATCATATTATAATTAAATTTGCACTTAATTTATTTATAATATTCATTTGTTCACAGTGACAATTGTAGGGTTTTTTTTTAAAATTGGTTTGGACTTTTCCCAGGCCAAAAAAAAAATGTAGATGATATAAGAAATTACAATAATTTTATATTCAAATAAACACTTCAACGAACAATATTTTAATATAAGATTTATTGAATATATAAATATTACATTTTTCTTATTAGTATATTTTGTTACTTTTTATCAATTGTGTTAATACTATTTTTTTAAAAATTGATATTGTGACTATCACAATTTCGTTATATAGGATTATTAATAGATTCATTATTATAATATTTATTTGTATTAAAGTTATGCCAGTGTTTAGTATATTGCAATATACATTTCTCGTGGAACACGTTGTATATATCAGATGTGAGTTAAAATAAATATCGTTTTCAAATAGCAAACTAGGATGAGATATAATTTTTTTTTAGTATGGTATAAATTATTATATTTATGCAAATATAAAGTCATTAGTACCATATGAAGTCAGAATGCATATTGAAGATTATTTTGAGAAATTATACCCTTTCGGCTTGAATGGAATTGCAAACAATAACGAGTGGCATCTTCATGGGACATCATCAGAACAAAAAAAATTAATAAGCTAGTAACTTTTTTATTTGATTAATTTTACTATATGCATCTGAAAACAAGCGAAATTTGTTCTCTAGTTTGGCCAACGGATTAAAACTTTGACTGAATGTCTGCTGTCATAGACATGGGAGTAGGTGATTAATATACTTTCTTCATATAATGACCTCACCTACGAATTCATAATGTGAATGTAAATTTAGAGACCAATGAAGTTTAAAGAATGATATTTCACTGGCCTGGAAAGAGCCCAGGTTGAAGTGAGTAACCTTGGGGAAGTTAAAATAGGGATTGATAGAATTGAGAAGTTTAATAAAAAAATAGTCAGGATCGAAATTGGAACACAAACAAATCCAAAACTTCTATTTGGAGTAAGGGAACTACCTAAATTATGACAATAAACCAAATGGAAAAGAACTTCATAAAAAAAGTTGTCCTTTGATATACCTTTGTATACGTCACAGGTACTTTGAACACTTCACAGCCCAAGGCAAATCACGAATTAATTCTGTGGCTGAGGTAATAACTTAGATAGTTCAATTAACACCATACACACATACACGGTGCCCCCATCACGATAGAATATGAAAATGAATATAAATTTATATCATTTAAAACGCCAAATAAAAAGATTATTTATTATTACAATACAATTACAGGATTAAGCGTCAACATGGATTACCCTGGATTTTGGCCTTTAATTACCCAACCCAACCAAATAACGCAAGGAAAACTCCTTGCTCTGGATATACTTGTTATAGTAGAAAATTCAATTATAGCAACGGAAGGGAATCTTTTACCGCCTTTTTTTATAACATTCATAAAATATTAATTTAAGTCTATTATAAAATAATAAAAATTACGAAAGTCCTAATTTTGAATAATATTTGATTTTTAAGACAAACTCGGCCAAAGACTGAATACATCATTTTATATTTTATTTTAAGCCCGACCTTACCCCCCCCCCCCCCTCCCTCCATTAAGCCCAGTCTCTCTCAATTTTGGGACCGTCATAGTTTCGGGGCGACTTGCGTGGCGCAAGTTCGAGATTAAAGAAAAAGTAGATAGTTTCCCGAAGATGCAATTTTTTTGGCTGGAGCTCAGTCTAAAATTTTTAGTTGCTTAAGCCCGAATCCTGCTCAATTTTGGGACCGGCTTAGTTTCGGGGCGACTTGCATAGCGCTAGTTCGAGATTAAAATAAGAGTAGATAGATCCCAAAAAT